CGTTTGCTTTTGAAGTTTTTAATTAGAAACAGCGCAGCGGGATTTGCGGCCGCGTTTGCTTTTGAAGTTTTTAATTAGAAACAGCGCAGCGGGATTTGCGGCCGCGGGGGGATCCGATCCCCCCYCCTTCCCTGCGCCGGCTCCCGTGCACCAGCTGAAGGAGCAGAAGGGAAGCGACTGCACGGGAAAGGCAGAGATAAATCAATAAAATAAAATAAAATGAAACTTAGGGGAGCGCAGCGCCGAGGAGCGGCTTTTCCCCTGCGTGTTTAAACGCTCCGCGGACCCGGAGGAAGGTGACCGGCTGCTGGGATGGACGGGGCCGCTGGGACGCAAGGACGAGCCGCCGCCGTCGGGCGAAGCGAGTTGCGGGTTCTCCGTGAAGGGAGGGCTGTGAAAGCCCTAATAAAATCCTTGGCGAGGTGGTTTTATCCACTGCCGGGGGGGTTTTATCCAGGTGTTCTTCGTGGTGCGGATGGCTCGGAGCGCCCGGGGAGAGCGGGTGATTTGTATCTTGGGGGAAGAGGAAAACCCAGGGATTGTGGAAGCCTSAGCTAGGTGGGATGCGACCTGTGCTTGGTTTTGCAAGGGCTCCGAGGCGATTCCCCAGGGAAAGAGGAGGCTCTGGGTGTAATAGTTGGCCGTGAGTTTGCTGTGGTGGCAGGATGCTGTGCTTGGGTTTGCAGCAGGGCTCCGGCGCTGTGTGAAAACACAGTCCTGCAGTCGGGGTTGGGGCTACAACCAGACGTAGAGAAGCTGCTCTTACTGCTTATGGTCCAGCAGCAGGTTCTGCAGATGCTACAAACTGCTGGGAATTGGGTATGGTGTGACCCGAGAGGCCAACRTGTTCAGAAGTGCCGACTTGTGCAAGTTTATCGCTACTCCCTTTGCCTTTTGTCCCTTTGCTGAAGGCTGAGTGCTGAGGGGAAAAAGGAAAAAAAAATGCTCATATCTCAGGTTTTGTTGCTTTAAAAAATAAGCAAATTTTGTGGTCATTGTGCACAAAAGAGGGAAGAGGCATTCCCATCCTCAAATGCTGTTAGGTAAATGAAAAGCAACACTTTTGAACACTTTATTAAAGGGGTCTGATAATTTTGGCAACGGTCGTAATTTCTGGAGTGCTTGCAGCTGGCAGTATTGGAAGTGACTAACTTGTCCTCATGTGTTTTCACTTCCAAAGAGAAGCTGATGTGTTTGGCCTGGGGAGAAACCAGGTGTGTGCTAGTCACTGCTGCAGACCATGCCCTGGAGACCTTGCCGTGCTCCTTTGCCTAGGCTGGCGTGTAGCTTCTTCATGGGGCTGCTTCCAGGTGATTTTGGCAGTTATTCTCCCAGCTAATAGTTCTGTGCAGTGATGACTCCATTGCAGCGTGAACATTTGAGGTTGGAAGTTTATTCCACTAATTGTGAACCTACTTGGGATCTCAGTGCCCAGCCAGTGGTGGAGGAGCCTGCCACGTGCCCCATACTACAGCACGTGCAACCAGTCTGCCTGTGCAGTCAACCTGCTCACACTGTCACCTTGCTCCGTGCCTGGCATTGAAGGGTGCCTGGGGAAAAGGCAGTTGTGGGTGAGCTGTGGCCTCCAGGATGACTTGTGCCCTCCGCTTCCCTTCTGTGTCCTGGCTGAGCCATGGCTCTGGTCAGGGGGTTGTCTGGGTGCTGCATGGAGATGTTATTTGGGTGCTGAGTCTGCTGCTTCTTAGAGGCTCCTCCTTGTGCCCAGCTGAGGACAGAGAGAGTGCTTCCCATTTTGAGGAAAAGTGGAGGTTGAGAGGGAGGGAGTGAGTGGCTGTAGCTGCCGTGGCCCTCAACTTGCGCTCTGGAGCAAGAAGTGAGTGTGAATTTTGATGGTGATCTCCCTCCTTCCCTTTGTGGTTCAACATATATTTCCTGGCTCAACAGGAGTTGTGAAGGATTAAATGAAGGATTAAATGTGTGAAGGTTGTGAAATCCAACGCCAAGGCCTGTAGTGTACAGAGCTGTSATTACCCACAGCTGCAGGATTTTCCAGAGACTGTTGCTGCAACTTTACTGTCTCGTACCCTACAGCAGACTTGGGAGTGAGCAGATGCTGATTCTCTTATTAATTTTGAGTCCACGAGGTTCTCTATGTCTGAATGAGCCTTTTGGTTAGACAGAGGCATGTATTTTGATCTTGTATTTGCATCCATGTATCTTGCAGGAGATATATCCTACATAATGAGTGACAGGAACTGGAGCAAGACAAGATGTGTTAGCTTTTTCTTTGCCACCTGCTCCTGGGATGGACAGAGCCCTTCCTGAATCCAGTCATTCTGTGACTTTGGATGTAGGGCTTGATCCCTTGCTTTCATACAGAGCCTGTATGAGTTTCCTGGCTTGCAAGAGAAACAAGAGGGCCTGGATCTCTCTCCAAGTGGATTTCCTCAAAGTTACTTCATAATTTTCCCCAGTGTTTGGATTTTCTGCCATCAGAGAAAAGAGCCTCTAGTCTCTGATCCGGGATTGCCAATGGTGCTTCCGTGTTTGTGACATTCACGTTTCAATGTCTGCATTTTCATTTGACCCAATGCAACTTTTCTATTTACACAAACAGTGGGAAACCATATTCCCTCTCCTAACCTTTGCCATTACTTCTCTTTCTTCTCTTGCTTTTTGCTGATAGTACAATCATATTTTAGTGTTTCTGTTCTTGGGAGTATGTGCTTTTTTTTCTTCCTTCTTTGACTCAGTCCAACTGCCACCCCATCTGTCTTTCATCTCAGGACTAAAAGCTTTTTTRCTTTCATAGTACTAAGTTTCTCTGCTTCAAGTATGCCCTAACACCCTTGCTGTGCCTTCCACTGAATTAGAACTGTTCTAGCTGAAGTTTCTTATCTCTGATCTCTTATCGGCTTTGCCAGTTCCACTCTCCAGTTGAGCAGTTTCTATCTGAAAGCCTTTGTAGCCCTTTTCATCATCAACAAAGTTTTATGTCTTGTCCTGGCTCTTACTAGCACAGACTTGGTTTTCTGCAATACTCTTTTCTCTGGTCCAGGCAAGGGCAGATTCACCCTATTGAAAGTGCTGCAGCTGTGCTTGCTCTCCTGGCTCATCATATAGGTCCTTACCTTGTGTTTCTTCATTTKTGGACAGGTGGTTTTCCTATGCAAAGCTTATTTCTACCCTCCCGGTAACTCTCATTTAGGTCTGGTTAGGACCTGGTTAGGACAGGYTCAGCATTTCTGTCCTTCTGCTACCACAGAAGCTGTAGAACCAGCCTTGTGTTTCCTTGCCCCTCTAGGACAGCTCAAGCAAGGTTTTGTGGTCCTGTTTAACAAGTTAAGCCTCAAGTCAGCAATGAACTTAAGAGTCTGCTTAAGTCTGTACTTGCACTAAGCCACTGGGCTTTGACAACGTGCTTAAAGTTGAGTTGCTGCTTAATTACTTTGCTTAATAAAAGTGGGATTACACATGCTGAACCAGCACCAGAGGCCTGACGATTCCAATCTCCTGCTCTCCCGAAAGCATGAAGGGCTGTACAGCGGAAAGCCAATTCCGAAACATCGGAGGGAATTTTCTTCTGGTTATGTGAGCAGCTGGGCCAGCAGCTCTGCAAATCACACGGCAAGGCAGGATCGTCTCGGTACCTACCGAGTGCTGTGCCCTCCTGCTGCCTCGTCGCCTCCAGTGCCCCTTCCAGCGAGAGGAGCAAAGTCTGTCCGTTTGCTGGAGCTGCTTTCCCAGCAGTTTGTGTAGCCCCTGGTAGCTCCACGTAGCAATGGGAGAGGCGGTGAAAGCAGCTCTCGAGGAAGGGTTCCTTGGGATTCCTGGTGGATGTGGYGGATCTCATGGGTCCCATCCCTGGGAAGGATGTCGTGGTGCCCCCTTTGGCTCCTGGGGAAGTTGGAGGTTGTGGGGCTGCTTCAGGCTATACCAGTCACYGGAGCTGCTCGTGTGGCCCCTCTGCTGCTTGATAGTGAGTTTCAAGAACTGCAGATGCAAACCCAGGCTGGAATGGACTTTATTTCAGATCTTTTCCTTTCATGCTAAACAGGGATTTCCCACCTGAGAATGATTCCCAGAGGCCTTTGTGCAGTGGGGGCTCTTTTGCAGACTGGAGATTGAACCATCTCTTTGTCCCTGCAAGCTCCAAGGGCACAAAGCAGATGTCATGGTGCACCTGTAGCTGTTTCCTTCTCCTAGACATCTGGCCCATCAATTCAGGCAAAAAAAAAAAAAAAAAAAAAAAAAACCCAAAAGTCACGAGTCTTTTAATATGCTTTTAATATAGAATATTAAGGAGCAAAATGCTCCTTTGCCCACAACTCTTGGGCAAAGAGGCCAAGTTGGTATTCTTCAGTGGATTAAGTCCAAACTGTGGGTGAGTTTCTGTTTGCACCAGTGTGGCAGGCATGGAGGCAGCTGGCGTGTGGATCCGATGGATCTGTCTTGAGGGACTCGAAGCTCTTCAGTGGATGAAGGGTCTCATTAGCTGGAAATGGTGGAAACAGCGTTCAGACTTTGACTTTGTCTCTGACTGAGCCACTTGCTTTGGCCTAGATCCCTGGGGAGCTGAGGAGGGAAAATGAGGTGCCTGCATAGGCACAGAACTGGGCTCCAGGTATCTCCCTGGTTCCCTGTCTGTGGAGCTGTCCAAGCTCTGTGGTCGACTGAACTGGAGCTTCCTGAGCAAAGACTGCCCCAAAGACTACCCTGTCCTTGGTGTGTAGGTACAGCTTGGAACAACCGTGTGTGACAAAAYTGAATTTCACCTGGTACTCGCTGCAGGAAGGATGTGATGGGGACCATGGCGATGGGGAGCTTAACCTTGGAAGAGG